CAGTGGCATCATCATAGCTCACAGCAACTTCAAACTCCTGGGCTCAAGTGATCCTCCTGCCTCAGCCTCCTGAGTAGCTGGGATTACGGATTTGTGCCACGACGCCTGGTTAATTTTTGTATTTTTTGTAAAGACGGGGTCTTATTCTTGCTCAGGCTAGTCTCAAACTCCTGACCTCAAGTGATCCTCCTGCCTTGGCCTCCCAGAGTATTATGATTATAGGCGTGAGCCACCGCACTTGGCCTATTTTACTTTATTGTATTGTATTCTGTTCCTTCTACCTAGACTGCCCTTTCCACCCTTCTTCACTTGGATCATACTAACTCACTTTTTAAGATATAGCCCAGCCATCACCTGGCTCAGGAAACCTTCCCAAAGCCTTGGATAAAGGAAGTGCTCCTGTGCTTATTGCATCCTGTGCTTGTTGTCTCATGACTTACGAACTGCATGTTGGAATTATTTGTTTGTGAGTCTTTCTCCCCCATTAGGCTCTGACCTATAGCAGCTTTGTCACCTTTCCCCAGTGTTTAACACAATATCCAGCACATAGTAGGCGCTCAGTTAATATTGTTGACTAGAATTTAACGTCCTCAGAGCAAAGGTTTTCTACCCTGGGACTCCTAGCAGGCACTTGACAAATGTTCCTTAGGTGAATGCTGCTGCTGTTGAAGCCGTGATGGGAAGAGGGAGGAGAGATCTGATCACATAGCTCTTACATGTGCCAAGAAGGCCGGGCATGGCAGAAACTACACACCAGCATTCCATGCCTGGGCAGCATGCACTCTGAGGGCGAGGTCTTAAGGAATGAAGCTCTCTGGTAACTATTTAAGAGAATAACCCACTGGGTCTACAGAGGACGGCAGCCCCTCTTACGAGCTTTCCCACAATCCCTGGGTCGTGACCACCTCAATGAGAGGCATTTGCATGAATTAAGAAAATTATGGCAAAGGAAGAGGGTTTGTTAGGGCCAAGAGTTCCCCCAGGTGGGCTCCACATGCAGCCCTGGGACAAGCTTTCGAGATCCTGTTCCCCACTAAAGCTACCCGTTGGCTCTCTTCCTGGTGGCCTCTTTCCACAAAGGATCTGCTACCTTTGTGGCTGGTCCCTGCCTTTGCAACCGCAGAGCATGAATAGCTAAGGAGGCACGCTGGTGCCAACAAGAGGAGCCTCTGTTGATTCCAGTGGGTCTCTGAAGGGTGAGGGCTCCGAGTTTTGACCACCCACCTCCTGCTAATCCTCCAGCAAAACCAGTCAGGCTGGTTGTAGTGTATTATTAGAGAGCCCACATGTCCGTCCTTGGAACAACAGAGCCACTTGTGCATGAGGAGTGTTTCACATCCTTGGGACCCAGGCTGGAGGAGTGGGGTGGGGGTGGGGGAGCTGGGACAGGTGGGAGCAGGGCAAGCGTGACACCGGTTGAGAGCTTGCGGTTTCCCAGCAAGATGGAGCGGGTTTACAGCGGCCCTGCCCCTTATGCATGGCCCCGAGCAAATGACTGAACTTCTCTGAGTTAATAGGGAACCTTCACAAGGTGCTGGTGAGGATTAAAGGAGACGCTACTCTGAGGCACCTAGTGCGAAAACACTAGCTCCTCTGATGCAGGTGCGTCTTAGGGACAATCTCTCAAGACAGGAAAGTCTAGGTGGAAGCCCCACCACCCGTTGCTTCTCCTGGCAGCCGATGGAGCACCGTGTCCTGCCGGACACAGGAAGGGGAGTGCTGCCCAAGCAGTCCCTGTGGCCCGTGGAGTGCCCCCTACCCCTGCCACATGACTGGCGATTTCAGATGAACATGAGCGGGGGAGCTGATGTTTGGTTTTGAGGAAAAGAATTGTCTAGGTTGCCTCTGGGAAGTGATATTGTTCTCTCAGTCTCTACACTTTTCACTGTTAATCTGGACTTTCCTTTCCTCCTGCCTTCCCTCCATCCCTCCCTTCTTTTCTTCCTTTCATGGAAAAATATAACACAGAAATTGGAGGATTGGCCCTTTAAATAACCTCCAGAACCAACAAGTATCAGTCTTCCTAAACTCTGTCCTGAGTTGTGACTGACATTAAATCACCACCTATTTCAAGACAAGCCTTTGTTTTCCATCTCTTTCCTTCCAGGAGGGTAAATGCTGTTCTGAGGAAAAAAGAGGCAACTAGAATGTAGCTCAGGGAGAAAAGCAAAAGGCAGGGGAGGGGACTTGCTTCTTTCTTCCTCTCTGGGGAGTTAGAGAGCGGCAGCAGCAAAGTCTCCTTTCCAAGGAGCTCCCAGGAAGATGAGGAACCCCATCCTTGAGCTGGGTGCAGGGAGGGGTGTTGGTGTGAATTGCTCAGCAGTACCGAGAAATCACGCCCACATAGAAGAATCAAAGCATGTTCACCTCCTTTGTCCTTGGGCTGTGTAGAGGGTCCCCTCATCACAGTCATTGATTCCCTTCCATGCCACCCTGCTCAGTGCTCCACAGTGCTCAGAGCCTTGACATCTCAGGGGAGCTCCCAGCCTGGCACACACTCCCCCCAGTCCAAACTCCCCCCGGCAGGTGCCTGCTCTCCATGGCAGGCCACCAACCAAACCCCTCCCTAACCCTGAACAAGTGCCCCAAGTGGCTGGGTGTGATGGTAAGACCAGTCCAGTTAGGCTGCTGTCTGGCCAGGTTCCTGCTGGCTCAATGTTGAATCAGATAAGGGCACAGGTGGGGCCCTATGGGACATCCCAGCAGTGCTCAGCACCCCCAAAAGACCTCACCCTTGTTCCCTTCACCTGCACGGCAGAGAGAAGAGTACACTACCTCCAGAAGATGATCTGCCCCAGGGAAGCCATGGCTAGAGGGAGGCTTCTTCCCACGGCGTGGCTGGGTGCTGGGTGAGGAGCTGCTGCTGTCCTGCCAGATGCTGTGACTCACCAGCGTGCTGGCCTTAAATAGTGCGCTCAGGCCGGGAGTGGTACGTGCACTGGGTACAGCTGAGGTATGAGGAAACGGCACAGCCAGCCAGGCAGAATTCCCTGCAGGCACAGGGGCTGCCTGCACCCAGCCAGCTAGTGAAGCCAGGGGTTCCAAGCTGATTTCCAGCCTTGACCTTGGCAAGAAGGTGAGGAGGAAAAAGCTTCCTAGGCCCCCTGCTTTAGGGGTGGTATTCAGCATGTGTCTTTTCCTCCTGACTGTGGAAGGGAGCTCTAGACAGGGAGATTTAATCTCAAAATAAGAAAGGACTGGAAGAGCTCAAAATGTCAGGCTGTGCCAGCAAGCTGGGGGCCTGGGAGTCCCCATCCCTGCTGGTAGGTGGTGCCCAGATGGAGACGGGGCCACCACTGGTGGGGTCTCTCACAGAAGTGATTCATGCTGAGAGACCTCAGAAAGGCCATGAGCTGAAGTGACAAGACTGCTGAGTTTGTCACTCAAGACTGAGCTCACCTCAGGCCCCTGCGATGCTCAGCTGGCTGACAAATCCCTTCTGGTTTCATCTCAGTGGGAGGGTGAGAGGGCCAGCCCTTCCCACCTCGTAATTTTTTTGAGACTCCAAAAAGACACTGAATGTGCATTACATAGAAGCTATTGCTGTTGAAGTTGAGCGAGTTGGCAAAAATGTATCCGACGTCTCATCCAGCACTCAGATTGCCAACTGGGCAGGACACTTCTCAAGGCATAACCTTGCTCTCTTGTACTGTTCCCTCCACACCCCCGAAGAGCGCTTTGCAAGTGGGCATGACTGGTTGCGGGGCTTACTGGCTACGCGGACGGACTGTATTGACACCAAAGCTGCTCTGGGCCTTCAGCAGAACCACTCTAGTATTGGGACATGGGCTGCGGGAGCACCACGGAGGGAAACTGGAGAAGGAAGGGAGAATGGAGTGGTGGTGGGGAGACAGCAGGGGAAGGATCTTTAGAGCCAAACAGAGCCAGGGCCACATCCTGCTCCCTAGTTAATCATGTGGCTTTGAGAACATCACTTCGCCTTTCTTCAAGACATCTCTTACTGGGTTGGAGCGAGTAGTAAGTGAGAGGGGCCCATGTGCCTTCCCTCCCCCACAGTGAGTAAAGGGCGATGCCCGGAAACCTATGAAGTGTCCACACTGATTGGTTCCTCCCAGGCCCGGGGAAGCCGAGGGCAATGGGAGCAGTGGTTTCCATAATTCTGACCAAAGGCACAGGGACTCTGCCCAACCCCTCAATGAGCAGCCCCACCTTAGACACCTGGAGCAGAGCCACGGGGTTTCTCTCCTCCAGCCTCTCATCACTAAGGGAAGGTCTACGGAAGGCCCTGGAGGGAAAACCAAGACAACCCGGCGTAGATGGGTTTCTGTCTTTCTCTGAGTAAGAGAGAAAGTGACCAGTAGGCAGCTCCTGTCAGGAGGATGTCTAGAGGAGCCCACATGCCATCGGACAGGCATTATCTGGCAAGACTATAGAGCTAAATGCATTCTGCCTTCTCTGGAGAAGCAAACAGAGTACTCTGGTTCTAACTCCAAAACCTGAAGGGAGATACCCATAAAATAATGGGGGAAATCATTGCAGAGCAACAGACGAAACTCGAATGTGTACGTATGCATGCGTGCAGAGAGAGGGTCTTGGAACACTGACCCCTTAGCACTGGAGAGCCTCTCTTCTTCTCCAAGATCCCCCCACTCTGCCTTGTGCCCAGGCCCTCTTCCTTCACTCTTCCATAGGTGATGGGGTTCTCCATGGTTCTGTCCTCTGCCTCCTCTTCCTACAGCACAGGGGCCTGGCCAACCTCATCCATTGCCCCGCTTCAGCTGCCTTCCACCTGGAGACCCCACATCCGCATCCCCAGCTCAGCGTCCTGACTGTGCTCCAGCTACACACCCAGCTGCTTAGTGGACTTCTCTGCTATGTTGTCCTGTAGGGACCAGGAAACTAGAACATATCCCCTTCCACCACTAACCCCACTGCTTCTCCTGGCTTTCACCTCTGGAGCACAGCAGTACCACATGCTAGATTGCACAGTGAGAAACCTCAAAGTCACCCTCAACTCCTTCTCCCTCGCTGCAGACATCCCCGTGCTCAGCAGGGTGACTCTTCCTCTTTAGTTTCCCAGGGCGGCCACAGACTGGGTGGCTCAGCCAACAGAAATGCATTTTCTCACGGTTCTGGAGGCTACAAGTCTCAGATAAGATGTTGGCAGAGTTTGTTCCTCCTGAGGCCTCTCTCCTTAGCCTGTAGAAGCTGTCTTCTCCCTGTGTCTCTCCCTGGTCTTCCATCTCTGCGTGTCTGTCCTAATCTCCTCTTCATAGGACCCCAGTCCTATTGGATTAGGGTCCACCCTAATGATCCCATTTTAACTTAATTACTTCTTTAAAGGCCCTGTCTCCAAACACAGTAACATTCTGAGGTAAGAGGGGTCAGGACTTCAACATGAATTCTTTCGGAGAGGCATAATTCAGCTCACAACTTTCCTATGTGCCTCCCAAATCCGTCCCTTCTCTCCGTTCCCAGTACTACTGCCCCAATTCACTCCCTCCTCATTTCCCATTTGAATTAAATCACTAAACAGTCTCCTACTTCATTGCCCTGTTCCCGCTCTGCCTCTATCTCTGCTGATCCACTCACTTCTGCTAGAGTGCTCTTTCTAAAATGCAAATCTGAGCAGGCCCCTTGCCTGCTTAAAGCGACCAGTGGTTCCCCAGGGCCCGTGATCTCACTTCTGCCTACCTCTCCAGATTTTTCACTCATGTTCCTGCATCTCACTCTGTGGACTAGCCATGCTAAGCTGCTTTGGGTTTCTCTGAAATGCCAGCGTGCTCTCCCAAGCCACCCTGCCTTTATACATGTCACTCTCTCCGCCTGGAATCCATCCCTGCCCTTTTCTCGTTCTACATAAAATCTATGGGAAAATTTCCCAGCGACTTCCATCTGGCAGGTGCTGAGCCCCGGGCTCCCACATGAACCTTGTGCTGACTTCTGTGTTCCTAAAATGGGATCCTTGACTTTTCTGTCTCCTTCACTCGACACACCTTAAAAATAGAAAAGGTGTCTTATTCATCTTCGTATTTCACACCAGTATAAGGCATGTGTTAAACGAATGTTAAATAAATGCACATTTTTCTTACATAGCACACAATAACAGTACTATTTTCTGTTTATGCATCTGTCTCATTGATAGTCTGTGAACTCCTGGAAGGTAAAAACTATGCCTCATTCATCTTTTTTGTCACCAGGTCCTAGCACCATGCCAGACATAAAAAACACTCAGTAGCATTTGATGGATGGGTGAGCAGGAATCAACCTGGGGTGTAATCAATCAAACATTTTCTGGAGGAGACGTCTTATGAGCTGGATTGACACTATTAAAGGCAGGAGAGAACAAGTCACATTTGAGATTGAGGAATGATTTAGGGGTAGGACAAAGGTAAAGCAGATGTGTGAGACAAACAAAATCTCTTTTCCCCTTGCTGATCTTTGGGAAATAGAGAGACTGAAACAGAGACTAACTTAATGTATCTGGAACCAGAATGTCTACTCATGCATTTTTTTAAAAATTGTTTCAACAGCCCAGTCACCTGGAGCCCCACTTTCTCATTGCATATCTGCACATTCTCCCGTGCATCGGGCTTAAATTTCCCCAGAATCACAGCATATCCTGGCCGTGATAGGAAGAGCATCCACTTATTTGTGGGGATTTACACTTTTCACAAAAGGCCCTGAGCTCCTGTGATCCTTACCATAGCCCTGTGAAGTTTTACAAACAGGAAACTAAGTCTCAGAGATTAAGAGATTTGTTCAAGGTCAATTAACTTGAGTTTCTCCAGGCCTTACTTGCCTGTGTGTATAAATGGAATCATATTAATGAAAATAACAATTTCACTAGCTCTTGAACTGAACTTCTAAGGCAGAACCCCTAGACCATGTGCAAGTTTTACCCTTTGGGCATCTCAGGACATGATACAAAGGTTCTCAGAAAAGCAAACTGTAGATTCTTCCACTGAGGGTGTCCGCAGAATCTTGCCTTCCTGTATCTGTGCCTTTGTGCAATCCCCACCCACACTGACTCTGGGCTTAGCCACTAGCCATTAGTGAGCATGATGCAAGCAGAGGCTTAAAAAGTGTTTGTGCATTTGGGCGTGCCCTCTCTAGCTGCTGAGGACCCTTCTGTCACCGTGTGGAAAAAACTGTGGAACAGAGATGAGCCATCCCAGCTTGAGATTCCTGAATCAACCAGCTGTTAGCCAACTGCAGTCACATGAATGCCTTCAGGTGAACCGAAGAATTACCTGGCTGATCTCAGCCCAAATTACTGACCCACGTAATCATGAACAAGTAAAACGGTCACTGTTTTAAGCCACTACATTTTGAGGTGGTTTGTTACATAAGCAATAGATGACTGATACACTATCCTTTCACCTTATTCTCTTCCATGTTTCTGTCTCATGGGCTCTGAAGCCACTGCAGATGACCTCTCGCCATCTACTGCCGGGGTCTGCTAAGTCAACCTTAGTGAGCAAAAGTACTCTCTTGCTTCTCGGCTGGAATGGTATTTCACGGAGCACCCAGTATGCTAAGACATGTTACAAACACACACACACACCTGCACACACATGAGTTTGAAAAGAAAAATTGTTGTTGAATCAGCCTTTAGGCAAGAAATAAAGAGGGGCCCTCATTTACCAGAAGCAAATACCACCCGCATCTTTACACCTTTTCATCAATATTTCAGGCTTTCTTTTATACACGAGAAAAAACTAAGACCCTCCCTGAGAAACACCTTGTTTTTAGCAGGCATTTGGAATCCTGTGAGAGAACAGATCTTACAATACTCTACAGAGCTGGGAAAAGGAGACCTCGTAGTCTTAATGTAGCAAACTTCAAAATGTCAATTGGAAGGGATGGCCGACATGTAGTGAAATATTAAGGAGCTGTCATTTTGTCTGAGACCTTGACATTCTTCTG